AATAAAATATGAGGATGAAAGTAAATACTAGTGAAAAATTAATAATAATGGCTGACAATGCTTCATCTAATAAAATATGAAGATGAAAGTAAATACTAGTGAAAAATTAATAATAATGGCTGACAATGCTTCATCTAATAAAAATGAAGATGAAAGTAAATACAAGTGAAAAATTAATAATAATGGTTGACAACACTTCATCTAATAAAAAATGAAGATGAATAAATACTAATCAAAAATTAATAATAATGGCTGACAATGCTTCATCTAATAAAAAGAAATAACCAAAATGTTGGAAAATTTACAAGGTAAATATTAATTTTTCTTAGAGAGGCACCAATCTGCACCTTGTATCATGAAGAAAACATTGTAGCTTCTGAATCTGTAAAGTTATTTCTACCATCTGGCAAGACATAATGATGAGGAAAATAATTAATAGCTAGAGACAATAAGTTACATTATTCTCCTGCCAATTGGTTCAGTGCAAATCTTGCCTTAGAGGAAGTGAATAATGAATGTACTTAAGAAAGATAATAGCATTAATTGTGTCTTCTATAAAGGAAAAGAAAATAATAAGACTGTTCCAGCTTGACTAAGCATACAAGAATGCACAAGAATTATTATTTACAATCAATCAGGAAATTAAGATCTTACACAAACATTGCCAAAATTTTTTATTGTTTTTAGTTTTCAAAAAGAAACATTATGACAGATATTAAAACGGTGAGAGCATAAAATAATTAACTAAAAACATTGATAGAATTAATATATATATATATATATATATATATATATATAAGGAAGAGGTTATAATTGTTCCAACAAGAGAAAAGTATATATTTTAAAGAGAAGAGAGAAGCTGCAAACGTTTTTAGTTATAATGTGGACATTTAAAATACATATTATATTTTATTGTCCATATTTTTGCTACATGTGTTTCCAGTCTCATGACCTTCATCAGGCAAAGAGTGGTTATTTCCACATATTATTAAAAGGAATTAATTTTCCTTATGTTTTCCAATGTTTATCCAGTATGTAGTAGTAATCCAAATTTTTCTTGGACTTATGACAAAAATATTCTTCTGCTTAAGAGGTAATAAAACAATAAGGCTTGGTCAGAGAAAGAGCGAAGGAAGGAGGTCTTCATTCTTATCTTTTTATGACCCCAGTATCTTCTTAGACCTAACTCTATTTTTGTGCATTGTGTGTTCATGTGTGTTTTTGCTAGTATGTATATACATATTCCTTCTCCATACATATATATTATTTTATTATAAGGAATTATATATATATATATATATATATATATATATATATATATATACATACACACACACACACTTCCTCTGTTGTGTAGGGCTCATGTATGCTTGTGGGTAGTCTATTGTTTTTGCCAGTATATATATATATATATTTGTATATTTGTTCTCCATAGATACTTGTCTGTGCATGTGTGTGTGTGTGTGTGTGTATGTGGTCTGACTAGTGTATTCAGCCATTATGTGTGCATGCTGTGTGTTTATGTGTGTAGAGTTATGACCTGTTTAGTGCTGGTTTAAACTGGTCTATGAAGTTTTTTCTTGTATTTGTAGGTAAGAATAATTGTCTGTTTGACATACTGGCATAATTTTAAATTTACCTTGATTACATTTGTAGATGTGTTGTTATACAAAGAGTTTTCTGTTGTCTGGTAATTTCATGTTGCTCTTGTGAAGGGAAACTGTTATTTAGTGCTTAGCTAATACCTATGTAGGACTTGCTGCATTTTGTGCACTTGAGTGCAAAAATCACATTTTTGGAGTTGCAGTTTAAATTTCTATTTATTGTGAATATTGTGGGGTTTTCAGAAGTGTAGGAGTTTCCTTCTATAATGATATCACAAAAACCCATATCTTTTTTTGTTGCATTTTGTGACCCCCTGTATAATGTGTTGGCTTAATTTGGCTGAGGTTAATGTGTTTTAGTTTTTTTTATTCGTTTGCTTTTAATTATATTGGTTGTTTTTAGTATATGTCTCATTTTATCATTCTTGTTAAGTAGGTCTAGATTTCTTGTAATTTCTGTAAATAGTTCTGGATTGTTCTTGTTACACACACACATAGATACACAAGGTGCAATGGGTAAATTGTCACATTTTATATTTTCATTTTCAAACATGTGTGCTGTTTGTTTTTGATTTTGTTCACTGCACAGTATAGTAGGGTCAGTTGGGCACCATCTGTGAGAAAAAGAGCACCATGATACAATTCACTCCACCAGATATTTGAAAACAGCATGCTGTACTACCTGGAATTTGCACTGGAAGCTCCAATATGAACATTTCAGTGTTTCGGTGTCAATCAGAAAACAATGCAGATGATTCAGAAAGAGTTGGAGGAGTCTAATGGTGGTTACAAAGGTGCAGAAGCACAGAAAACTCACTCTGATCATTTTGATAAGAACTCCTGATTTTGTTGGTGAGAGCCTCAGACACAACTTGGAGGCCTACATCAAGTGCTTTGAGGAGGTAGTGCTGTTGGTCAAGAGGGTGGCTGTTGGAAGACCCTATGTCTAGCAGCAGGACCTGCACCATGCCACACAAGCAAGAAAACCTAGTCATGGCTGTCAGACAATTTCTACAACCACATCACCCTTTACATCTGGCCACCTAACTCTCCAGACTGCAACTCTCTTAATTATTATGTGTGGGATGCAGTTGAATGAAAGATCCACAAAACTCTTATATCACAAAAGATGAACTGAAGGCAAGGATTACGGCAGCATTCACCAACTTAAACAAGGAGACCATCCAAAAGAGTTGCAGAAGATTCCAAAGGTTGAAGTCAATGCCAATTTTATTGAATAAATTTACTCTTTATTATTTCAAGATACTTTTGTATAATTTTGGTAAATATATCTGTTAAAATGAGATGTCAGTGTTTTACTTAATTTTGACAATAGTTTATCCATCGCACACTCTGTGTGTGTGTGTGTGTGTGTGTAGAGAGAGAGATGAAAAAACAGACAAACATTAATATATATTAGTTTAAAATTACCTCCTCTATTTATAGGACATGAGAATGTAGATATAGATAGTGTGCAGTGTAGACATAGCAATCAACACTGCATGGTGACTGTCAGTTTCATGCCTCAAGTGATCATGATTGAGGTGTCAGCCAGTCATCATGTACCATTGATTTCTATGTCCATATATACACTCATTCATTCATTAAAGCAATAACTAAGTTTTAAATGTTTTCATATATATATATTTAATCCTAATATCAACAGATATAACTCATACGTTGCATTACATCAACCTTGGCAGAAGGCCAGATAAGTCATCATTAACAAGACTGTACATACATAAATGATGTCAATTTTTTTTTATGTATGTAATTGATCACTCAATAAAATTAGTATTAGTCTACTGACATTAATAAAACAAAAATTGATAAATATAGAGATCTGTCTATATTCAAGGACACATGGCACAGTGGATAAAGGCGTTAGTTAGATCCAGTGACAGGACCCAAAGAGTGTGAGTTCAACACCTGTTTAAGGCAGTGGAGAACTTTGAGTGGGGAATTAACAGGTGATAACTGACATCCATTAGACATGGCATATGGAACTAGAACAGTCTACCCCAGTAAGCAAAATAAAGGGTTCAGTTTGACATTCCTACCACTGAAGAAGGCCAGAGCGTACAACGGCCGAAACATTGTGATAAACATGGCGACAAAGATAAGGACAATAGTCCAAATAATGTAAATATGGAGATGTAATTTTTATTTTTTTTTTGTTTTTTTTTAATCATTTCATCCCAAGCAAAGTGATAATGCCACTAAAATGCAAGGGGTTACTGAAAACCAAAGAAAATAAGAAGACTTTAGTGAGGAGAAAGAACAAGAAAAGTACACATAGTAAGAAGATAAATGATAATTAAAATTACATTTAAATTTTTGAAATTAAAGTCGAATGGAAAGCAACAGCCCAGAAGGTTATACTAGTGCACAGTGAGTACTTGTGGCACCAAACAGCATAGAATAAATGTATTTTTACTATTAGTATGTGCACGTGTATATATATATATATATATATATGGTGTAAGAAATGACAATTAGAAAAAAATCTTAGTTTTTTGCCGACACATTTCGTCTTCCAACTTTATCAAGGCAAACAATGAAAGTGAAATGTTTTTTGTCATCATAATTACATTAAATCCCAAATTTAAAAAACCTCCTAGTCATATGTAAACTCAGATTAAAATTAAAGATGTTGTAATGTACAGCAAGAATGTGTTGAGATTGCGGGGAAACAGCTAACCAGTTGCTCTCCCACCAACTACAGAGGTAATAGACAGAGAGGAGAAAGTGACACGAAGTAACAAAAATAACACTAACTCAGAAACCACACCAACTTTAGGACTGACTTCACAAGACACTGTGTCTTGCTACATTGCTTTTATTAGCATGAGAAATCTTACAAAGACCCAGATCTTGACCAGTTGTGGAGAGGCCTGTATCTAGACATGCCAAGTTGCCCTGCTGCTTACAGGGAAAACCTTGGTCGTAACTGGTGTTGACACATGCGATCTGAGGCTTCTTTTGCATTTTTACTGACACATGTTTGCCACAAAAGAAATCCAAAGCAAGGCCTAAACTACAATAAAGCAAATTCCAGGACAACAACTTGTGAATAGATGTATACTGATTGTTTGATTATTTGTTTTTCACAGCTTATCAACCCTTTCACAGGTTACTTAAAACAGCCAGAAAATATTTTTAGATTGTAAGAAGCTTTTTGAGGATAGTAATGATTTACTAATACAAGTTCTGTTAATTAACTCATACCGATACAGACGCTCCTTGGATTTTCACCAGAGCCCTTGTTAGCCGGCGTGTGTGTCAGACCTGTCCGCCTTGGGTGGCCCTACCAGGAACGAAGTTCCAGGCGGCATAGCTCTGACACTACCGTTTACACCCCCCACCAACTGTGAGGTAAGGGTTGGACTTTGGGGGCTTACAGTACTAGGTGTTCCCAAGCGGTCCCCCATCTAAGTACTGACCTGGCTCTACGATGCTTAACTTCGGTGATCGAACGAGAACCGGTGTTTCAGCGTGATTTGACCGGCGGCTTCTGGTCGTTCCTGTCTCTGCGTCTGTGGGAACCCCGCGGCAAGCAAGAACGTTATCCGAGTAGGCCTGGGTACCCTACTTCTGTAATTTATCCCAAGAATCTTCTTCTCATAACAGGAAGAAGCCGGCTCAATCCGCCCAGGGTGAATGCCGCATCAGTACAGTAGTAGTAGTAGTAATTAACTCATAGCGAGAGGGGTTGAAGAAGTGAACTTATACTTTTCCAAAGGTATTTGCACATAAGTGAATATAGCAATATCATGATTGTAATTGTAATTTGGCTCTCTGATTTCCAATTCCGAGCCCTTATCCATTACACCATCCACACATCCATGGTATTCCCAGCACCTGGTATTCCCAAATATTCACCCATCTAGATACTGACCAGGCTCAGCATTGCTTAAATTTGGTGATCATATGAGAACTGGTTTTGCAACATGATATGTGCCTTTCCCTTATCTGCCTATTAACAACCCCCGTAGTTGCCGAGAGAGAAATCACTTGTACCCCCCCCACACACACACACAAATCTCAACACACTTGCTGTACATTACAACATCTGTAATTTTAATCTGAATTTGCATATGACCGAGAAGTGGTTTCTCTCACAATCAGCACTTAGTGTAGAATTGTATTTCTGAATCTCTTATTGTTTAGGTAGTTTTGGGCTCTTTGTGTCCCCCTGTAAACTTTTCCATGTGCACAAGTGTTTTTGAAACCAGGTATTAGTTACCTGGTCATTCACCGTGCATCATTGGACCCATTTTTCTAGGTGATATGTCAAAAATCTAAAGACCTGAAGTTATGAATACAGAAGACCTCTTTCTTTAAAATTGAGTTCATACTAAGCAAGGCAGTAAAGCCACCGAGATGTAAGTGGGGGGAGGGGGATCACTGGATCTGGAAGAGTTAGAAACAGGAACATTGCTAAAGAGCAAGAAAAGAGGAAGACTAATCAGGACAGTACATAGCGATTGACATTGCATTTAAATTTATAAACATCAAGGAATGGCACCATATATAGAATGTTAAACAAAAACAACAGAAAGAACTGCAAGCAACTAGGTCTCACCATTTTACTGTTGAGCTAGCTAGACGCAACTGACACTTCTATTCTAACAGTTTCTTTTCTTGCACTTCTCACCTAAGGAACTCCTTTCCAATTTCTTGCTTCCCTGATCTTCAAAAATTTAAATACAATGCCAATTGCCATCTTCTGTCTTCTTGCACTCTGTTCTTTTTTGTCCTTTTCTCAATCCTAACCCCATTCTCAGTTCTCAGTCTTCTCATTCTCATCATGTTAATATCCATTTTTTCTGGTCCCTTGCTGATGGTCATGACCTCGGTCATACTGACACTGATCTTCATGTCATATTTCTTGCAGCTTGAGTTGAGTTGGTCAGTGTGTTCCTGCAGTTGGATCCTATCGTTGTTCATCATTGTCTGGTCATTGGCAAATTTATAGAACTTATACAGAATAAATTCTTAAATTGTCAGATAAGTCATTGTGGATATTTTAACTAAAATCAAATATAAACTGAAATTCACACATTATATTTATCATTGAAATATATCCTGAAAATTGTATCAACATTAGTTGGTTAATATTAATTTTATTGCTAAAGCATTGACTAGTATAATCAGATCTGACATTGTTTAATCTTTGTTTTTTTTTTTGTTTTTAATCAAATCCACAAGCAAGCAGTAAAGTCACCAAGATTCAAAGAATTACTGGGTGTAGAAGCATTAGAAACAGGAACATTGCTATAAGAATATTCAGGATAGCAGATAGCTACTGATATCGCATTTAAATTTTTGTGACTATAGTATAACAGAAATATACTTGGACAAAGCATGTACTTAAGACAACAAGAACGATCTTTTTATTAATAATTTACAAGAGAAAATAAAAACAACTTAGCTACATATCATCTTTGACATTGGGGATATTTTTTGAGCCATGTTTGAAGAAAAAAGAAGTCAGACTTCTATAACATACAAATACAATTATTCTATTACAAGATGAATTCTGACATGAAATATTTGATATTCACTGGTTTACTTTAGCTGGATCCCATTGATGTTAATGTCCAGTTTTTCTGGTCCCTTGCTGATGGTCATGACTTCGGTCTTACTGACACTGATCTTCATGTTGTATTTCTTACAACTTGAGTTGAGTTGATCAGTATGTTCCTGCAGCAAGATCCTGTCATTGTTCATCATTGTCTGGTCATTGGCAAATTTATAGACTTTAGAGAGAATAAATTCTTAAATTGTCAAATAAGTTATTGTGGATATTTTAAATAAAATCAAATATAAGCTGAAATTCACACAGTATATTTATCATAGAAATATATCCTGAAAATTGTATTGTTTAATCTTTGTTTCTTGTTTTTAATCAAATTCGCTCCATGCACCTGAGTCATGAGATACAAGCATTCATGAACCCCAGACATAGAATATAAGATTTAAGAACGACTTTAAGAGTTTAGAAGTAATTGGTAATTTGAGATAGAACACCTTAAGAGAAGCTCTAGTTGCATCAGCAAACAAGATAATCCCAAAGATAGAAAGACAAGAAAAAAGTGGATAACAGATGACAGTCTTCCGCTCATGATAAAGAAATAGCTAATATCAAGGAATGGTACCATATATAGGATGTTAAACAAAAACAACAGAAAGAACTGCAAGCAACTAGGTCTCACCATTTTTAACCTTTTAGCTAGCTAGACACAACCGCCACTTCTACTCTAACAGTTTCTTTTCTCACACTTCTCACCTGTGGAACTCCATTCTGTTTACTTGTATTCCCTGATAAATACAATCTTCTAAAATTTAAATGCAATGCAAATTGCCATCTTTTGTCCTTTCCTCAATCCTCCCTATTTTCAATCTTCCCATTCTAATTCACTCTCTGTAACCCTCTCTCCTGTGTTCTAGTGGCATTGTTGCCTTGCTTGGGGTGAAACAATTTAAAAAAAAAAAAAAAAGAGCAAGCAAAAAATGATTGATTTAATGAGAAAGTGTACAGAGATATAAGCAGTGCAAAATATACGCATAGCAGTCAGGCATAAAATAATAAAAGCAATAAAAAGGACAGAAGACATGTTTAAAATCTAAAAAGGGAAATCTCATAATAAAAAAAGAAAACATTAAGAGAATCAGTCGACTCTTCTATAGCAAAAGTATAACTTACAACACATTCACTTACATGTAACTATCTTAGAGAAAGATATGAATCCATTTTCCACCCCCACTTATGGGTTAAATAGGACATATGTAAAAAAAAAAAACATTGTTATCCTCAAAAGTTTTTAACAATATTTACTAAAAAATATATTATTTTTACAATCCAAAAATATATTTTGTCTTTAAATAATCCACAAAGGGTTGATAAGCCATAAAAAAAAACAATCAATCCATCAATGTAACTTACAATACATAAATACATATGAGGAGCTGTATATTAAAATCTGGGGTAAGATTGATTTGTTCTTTATGGCTTATCTACCTTTGGCAGGTTATTTAAAGCCAGAAAGTAATTTCGACTGTAAGAACTTTGGAGATATAATAATGATTTTTATTGATATAAATTCTAATAAACCCATAGCAGGAGGAGAAAATGTGAAAATCTGAAGTAAGAATAACACTGGCCAAGATGAATAGAGACAAAACAGCAGAGATGGGAGTGCAATCAAGATGCTGTCAGCCATCGAGTATCTTCGGATTGATAAATTATTAGAATAATAAATGAAATGTATGATAGTATCAAAATGCCAGAAGATCTTTGGCAATCTTACTTCATAATGATGCTAAAGAAAACAGGTACAAATGGATGGAAACTTCATCAGACAATCGACTTAATGAGCCACATAACTAAGCTTATCATGAGAATTCTAATGAATAGAGCTTATGCCAGAATTAGAAAGGAAATAACACAAAAACAATGTGTCGTTGCTCAAAGCATTGGATGAAGTAATGCTATCATTATGATCAGAATGCCATCAGAGTGAGCAATATAAATGCAGAAAGGCCTATATCTATGTTTCATAGATTACACAAAAGCATTTGTTAAGGTACAGTACAAAGACCTATTTAAACTACTCAGAAAGCTTTATTTATATAGGAAAGACAGAATAACCTGTATGCAAAATCAGTAAATACTAAATCCTTAAGAGACTTGAAGCAACAGAAATATGTTTCTGCTGAGGAGATCATCGACTGAATATGTGAACAATGACAAAGTTTTAGAGAAAATGGAAACAAAAAGAAAACTCTTACTTATCAGGAAGAGACAGTTAAAATTTCTAAAGCACATAACGAGGAAAGAGGGCTTGGAAAATCTGATACTCACAAGACAGATTGAAGGTAAGAGGGACAGAGAAAAACAACACATAATGAGCTTGAGTAAATGGATGGTGGAATGAGGTTAACGAGAAAAGACAAAATTTATTAAGAGCTACAAAGGACAGGAAATTGTGGAGAGCTATGATAGCCTACATACTGAAGGGACATAGAACATGGAAGAAGAAACACTGTAAATACCTTGGTGTATGAACCAATCTCAACAAATTTAGTATAGAAGCTAAGAAAATTGAATATAGGATAGGCTGTGCTTGGGGACATTTTACCCAACAATGCTAATTGCAACAAAAATTCAAGTCGTGTTTTTAACTAGCCTCGTCAAATCAAAACTTTCATATGGATGTCATCCATGGTGACAAACCCATTCACATACATCTAAACTGCCAGCTGTATACAACTGCTTTTGAAGATCAATGGTTAAAAATGCTTTTGAGTAAATGAACCCTGTAGGTTATAGCAAGGACCATCCTTCTTCAAATCTTCTGAACTGGTGCTACAGAATCAGAAAGAATTGTAACAACTAACAGGAAATACATCACTTGTTGGCTATCAACAGCAGCAACAACTAAAATGGATAGCACATGTAACTCAAAGAAAAAATAATGACATAATCAAGTTGTTAGTGTTCC